AGACCTGATTAAGACTGATTTAGACTTGGTTTAGTCCTGGTGTAGTCCTGGTGTAGTCCTGGTGTAGTCCTGGTGTAGTCCTGACCCACCCGTGTGTAATCACTACCCGCTCGCAAAATTCCAGAACGTCAAAATCCACCCGTTTCAGCAACCATTTGCAGGTACCCGGTGCAGGTCTCTGGGGTTGGGTATCATTAAGACGTTGCCAATACGATACATTCCTCGATACATAGACCATGATTTGATACAGTGCACTTTCAATTCAATATGATTCGATACGATATATATTTCAAATTTATTCGATGTGGTTCAGTGAAAAACAAAGGCTAAATCATGGCTGTGATACTAAAAGTCCACTGAGTTTGTGCAACGTTAACATGAAAATCCCCCATTTTAGTCAAAACGATGAAAATGTCAACACAATTGCAGCTCTTACACAACATAATTTTGTAAAATGTACCTAAAAATACTCTTGGCGATATATCGATACAGCAGCCCACGATAACGATACTGTATCATCACATTAAACAATACGATATATCGATATTTTTATATTTTTGCACACCTCTAGATTAAAAAACTACCAATCACTGACGCACTACAATCGTATAAACATACATTTGTGACGTGTATTGCCCAAGGACACAAAAACAGTGCTGGTGCCTATATAAACTAATGTAAAAGCAGTAATAATGTATTCATCAGCAGATCTTTAGGTTCCACTGGCAGCGGGTCAGACGTGGTTTAGTCCCGGTTCAGATCTGGACCACAGACGGACTCAGTGTGTGTGGTCCAGGTCTGATCCAGAGACCCAGGTCACGGCCGACTGCAGCCCCACGGAGAGGCACCGACGCTGGGGTAACTTCAGCAGAGGGAGGGGGTCAGGGTCTGGAGACGTTTGTTTTCACTGCAGTAAATCCAACTTTTTATAAGGATTAGCAGCTCCACATGCGGCGTCAGCTGTGGAAATGTAAACTGTAAAGGTGAGTTTTCTGGTGGAGGGTCCGTCACCTGCTTCTTGTTTCTATGGTGATGTCATTGCTCTGCTTTAAATAATGTTCCACAGTGTGACGTTAAACAGTTCTACTTTACATTTATTCAATTACAGGTGGTTTTATATCTCAAAAATACCTAGAAAAACTGATATTTTTTCTAATCTTTTTCTTCTATTAATTGTTCTGAATTTTATATTTTGGAATTAACATATTGTCCTTCATGTTTACGTGGAAATAATAATTCTAAATTGCCTTTATTTAATTCCGCTCAACGTCTGGGGGTCGGGAAGATTCTGATTGGACAGAGACACGAATGTATTTACATCGACCGGGAGAAAACGCACACTTCTGCTGCTACCGGCTTTTCTGTCATCTTGGTTTGTCGTTACGCCACGAACACAAACAAGATCCGAACTTTTTATGCAGTGGTTCGGAAAATAATGAAACAGCATCTAGAGAATTCTCTCATCACACTTTACGTCTGTCGGCTGAGGAGGAGAAGGAAAGAGTGTCGGAGAAGGAGGAGGAAGAAAAACTGAGTCTGAGGCTGCTCTACCTCAGCCCACTCCCACATCCCACTCACAAATCCAAAGAGACGTGGAGGAAAGTCCGAAGCCAGGACTGGTGGAGCCGGATCGTCCGGATCGTTCCAGAAGAGCGACACAACGAGCGTGTACCGAACAACCGGAATTATTTTTAAGAAGAATAAACGTTTACATCAGGGGTGTTAAACTCACATTCACAGAGGCCAAAATTAAAAAGTGAGACTAAGTCATGGGCCAAACTAAATATTTACTGAAAAATGTCAACAACTTCTGCATGTTTTCTCTTCTTTCGAGATATGTAATGTTGAACTTTTTCTTATTAAAATAATATCTGCAGAAAGAACAAAAAAGTCCAAAGTTCCAATCAGTGGGAGCAGGTAAAGGGTGCTCTTGGAAAAAAAGATCAAAACTAAAACACAACGGACTCCAGGCGCTCCAAAGAAGTAGAAAAAGTTAAAAATCGCACAAGGAAAAATGTAGTTAAAAGGCCTTTATTTGAATGGCCAAAGCCGACATGTTTCGACCTTAACTAGTCTTCATCAGTTCTAGCCCGCACAAGGAAAAACTAAAATTTTCCTCGTGCGATTTTTTACTTTTTCTACTTCTTTGGAGTGCCTGGAGTCCATTGTGTTTTAGTTTAAATGTTTAATAATAGTTTTGCTTAAACATTGAATCCAGAACAAGCAAAAGATAAAATAAGAACAAAATTATATAAATAAATAAATAATGTCCCTGTAGCCGACGGGCAGCTCTAATACATATTTGATAAGATCTCGCGGGCCAAATATAATTGTATTGTGAGACAAATCTGGCCCCCGGACCAGAGTTTGACATGTCTGGTTTACATGATCGAGGAATGAATTAATTCGGCTTCAAAATCGGAATAAACCACCCACTTATTTTAGAATAAAATTTAATTACGAATAATAATTTTCAGTAGGAATTAAGTGTTTACATGGTCTTTTGAAAGCGTAATACATTTTTATTCAGAATTAAAGAGAGTTTGATGGATCCTCCACCAGAAAAGTTACACAATGCACCTTTAATTTCCAGAAGATGAGCTATACAGACTTTTTATAATTGTCATTTTAAACCAAAAACATTAAAACATTTGTTCCTCAACAGTCAGAGGATTGGCTGTAGACGTTTCCATTAAAAAAAAAAAAAAAGCTGATTATTGATCCTTAGAACTGCCTGAACCTTGATTAAAATTCAATCAGGTGTTCAGCCAAAGCGTGAAAGAATTTTATAATGTTTCCTGATAAAAACAGATCTGAAATTGTGTGTTTTTTGTTAGATTAATAGTCCTTTACCGCTCTAATCCCTCATCCCTCGCTCATTAACCGCAGTGCATCTGCTGCCTTTGATAACGTCGCCTCTGATTTAAAACCCAGCACTTTCGGGAGTTTCCTGTTTTTGTTCGAGCCTCTCTTTTTTTTCTGCTCCATTGTCCCTGAGATCTGCTCCTACATCTGGGATCAAACGCGTTCAAGGAGACGGAGAGGGGCATTCTGGGATTGTTTGTAGTCTACACAGGGGGGCACGCAGGAACAGGAAATGACGAGAGAGAGGAGGTAAAAATTTATGATGCGATTGTGAACTTTTGCCACCTGGGAAGTGTTAATGTTTTATAACTTTTTGCTTGTTTAGTTTTCAAATCATTTAAAATAATACTTAAAGACATATTTTTTAATATTTTGTAGTGGCGTTTGGTTACAGATCAGAAAAAAAAAAGGTCCTACAGCTATAAATTTTATGAATACCAGATTCCGGATACCAGCTCTTTTGTTTACGTTTTGTTTATATGAAGATTCAGAATCGTCGGAATTTTCTGGATTTTCCCCATAACATTTATTTTATTTTGGACAATAGGATGTGAGGGACAAAAATATGGATGATTTAGATATTAAGGAATAGACTCGATACTCGATACCACAATGATGATAATAAAAACAAAACTCTTTTTTAAGACAACAGAATGTGATTTTCAACATTAAATCATAGTATTTTGTTTTCTATTCTCATGTGGACTTATATCTGTGTGTATATCTGTGGTCCAGGTCGGTTCCATGGGCGTGTACTAGTCTACGTGCTCTTATACTTGTTTTTCGTGAAATCTAGGTCGTCCAGGTAGGATCCGTCGCAAAGAAGAAATTCAATTCTGTTTTTTGGTCAAATATGTGTCAGAGCCCTGCACCGGGTCGGATACGGGCAAATGGTTGCTGAAACGGATGGGTTTTAATGTTATGGAATTTTACAGGTGGGTAGTAATTACACACAGGCGGGTCAGGACTACACCAGGACTAAACCAGGTCTAAACCAGGTCTAATCTTGGACTTGAGAGAGAGAGAATCCCGAACTCGTGGAGCAGGGTGTCCACAAAGCGTGATCGGGCGACGGCTGCGCTTACTTCCGTGAGGCGCGGAGCTCTACGCCGGTCCTTTCTCCTGCGGTCACTCAACCGTCTACGCGGGGGCACTTCCGAGCCAGTCCCAACAGTGAGTCGTGGTTCAGTTCTGGTTTAGTCCTTGTTTAATCCTGGTTTAGTCCTGTTTTAGTCCTAGTTCAGTCCTGGTTTAGTCCTAGGTTTGTCCTGGGTTAGTCCTAGCCTGATTCATCAGCCAGTTTCACTTCGTAAAGACTGTATGACCTCGCAGCATTAGGATTCGTTCGCTCGACGGTAGGCGGGTACTTTTTTTTCATTTAGCCATTGCTGCTATTTGGTCTTGACGTATGTGATGCCAATAACTGGGATAACTATTAAGCTTTTCCCAAATCCCGTAGGACGAAGGGCAATAACGTCTTTCCCCTTGATAAAATTCACCAAACATTCTCCTTGTTCTGGCCTCAAATCTTCGATCTCGGGAATCCTTGACAACACAGAATGTATGGCTCTTCACTGATTGGCTGGTGTCCAGACTCGCACTTCCGGGGTTCTTGCCAACCATCTAGTGTATTCCGAATCCTGACCTAATTGCTGGAGAGAAATGACACTGAGTGGAGGCACTAGGTGGCGCCAGCCCGGATAGTTTAGTACTGGGTTAGTCCTGGTTTAATCCTGGTTTACTCCTGGTAGGAGATTTACAGCAGACTGTGGTCCCGTGCTGCTCTCTCGTCTGTGTTGGTACATCTTCTTGTGAAGTTTGGCTGTTTTGTTTCTCTAATGTAACGCTCACTGAAGTCCTCGCTACACTGAATGGAGGAGACCACATCGCTTTGTTTGTGGCTCAGTGTTTTGTCTTTGTTCTGATGCAGCTCAAGATCAGACTAAAGCTACTCAAGAAAGGTTTGTTTCTGTCCTGTGATTGCAACTTTTTTAGTATCGATACCTGCTCAAATGAGTATCTAGTTTCGGAACTTACAGTATCTGATTTTTGATACTTTATACAACCTTAATAAACAGAGACTCCTGTCGTTATTATGCAGAGTCGTGTAGTCGTGCTACTGGAGCAGTTCTTACCCTGAGGCTGGACTCTGCAAAACTCCCAGGATCCTCTGTATTCGGTCCATGGCCAAACTCTCCTGGAAACTGCTCAGACCTGAGACACAGAAAATCACTTTACATCACTATTCTCTCACACTTTTAATAAAAAAAAATATATATATATAGAGAGAAAAATTATTAGTTAATACTCAGACTCACGAAACAGCTTAAAAAAAACGGCTCAAAACAGACCTTTCCCTCACAGTCCCCGCACATGACCGCTCCTCATCATTATTTTGTCTGTCCTGTCCTTGTTTTATTGTTACTTTATTGCGTCTTTGTGTTACCGTGAAAAGCACTACCGGTATATAAACATGAAGTATTATTACTTTTACTGGCGTGGCTTCTCAAAGTGTCATCGTAATTCATTCTAAACTCTTTCTGTGTTGAGGTGTGGACAGAGGCGTGGGGCCTGGGAGGGTTTTATTTATTTATTTATTCATTTTTTTGTCTGTTGTTGAAGGTGCATTGTGTAACTTTTTGGTTGGGGAATCCATCACCTGCTTGTTTCTTTGGATACATCATTTACTCCTTAAACAGCTCTACTTTACATTTATTCAATTACAGGTGGTTTTATAGCTGAAAAATACCTCAAAAAACATGAATTCCGACTGTGAACAGGGTCGCCTCTCCACAGATCTGACCCGTAACTTGATCATTCCAGACAAAGCGATAACATTTGACGGAAAAATTACACAATACACCTTCAAATATTCAAATTTAAATGAATAAAAATACCAAAAATAATGAGTGTTGGGAAGGTGACTTTTAAAATGTATTCCCCTACAGATTACAGATTACACACCCCAAAATGTAGTTTGTAACGTAATCCATTAAATTACTTAAAGTGAGTAATGTAATCTGAATACTTTGGATTACTTGATTTGCTGTAGAGAAGCAAAGATTAAGAAATCGTAACATAAGATGTTTTGTCTGATAAAAGAAAATAAAAAAGCCCAGACTTTACTGAACCAAATTAAAAAATATTATTGATAGAAGAAGAGGAACACGTCCACACAACATGGTTAAATCCTGTTTTAGTCCTGGTTTAGTCCTGGTTTAGTCCCGGTTTAGTCCCGGTTTACTCCTGGTTTAGTCCCAGTTTAGACCTGGTTTAGACCTGGTTTAGCCCTGGTTTTAGTCCTGGTTTTAGTCCTGGTTTAGTCCTGGTTTAGACCTGGTTTAGATCTAGTTTAGACCTGGTTTAGACCTGGTTTTAGACCTGGTTTTAGACCTGTTTTAGACCTGTTTTAGACCTGGTTTAGTCCTGGTTAATCCTGGTTTAGACCTGGTTTTAGTCCTGGTTTTAGTCCTAGCTTAGATCTAGTTTAGACCTGGTTTTAGTCCTGGTTTAGTCCTGGTTTAGACCTGGTTTAGACCTGGTTTAGACCTGGTTTAGACCTGGTTTAGATCTAGTTTTGACCTGGTTTTAGACCTGGTTTTAGACCTGTTTTAGACCTGTTTTAGACCTGGTTTAGTCCTGGTTTAGTCCTGGTTTAGACCTGGTTTAGATCTAGTTTAGTCCTGGTTTTAGACCTGGTTTTAGACCTGTTTTAGACCTGGTTTAAACCTGGTTTAGTCCTGGTTTAGACCTGGTTTAAATCTAACTTAGACTTGGTTTAGTTTCCAGCAATGAGTGGAATTACCAAAAAAAGAAAAAAAAGAAAGAAAAAAAAGGGGGATATAGCCCAAAATGTGAAAACAGGAAAATCCCACCGTGTAATCCATTTATTTCAACAAAGTAACTGTAATCCAATTACCACTCACTGAAACAGTAACTGTAACCGAATACAGTTACTCATAATTTGTACTCTGATTATGTAACTCCGGTACATGTAATCTGTTACTCCCCAACACTGAAAATAATTCATTCTAAACTCTTCGTTGATCAGATCCTCCCAGCTCTAAAGTCGACTACGACAAGACAAAACTAAAATGTGATGTTTTGAATCCGTCTCATTGAAAAACACAGCTCAGACCTTGTGCTGAGAGCGGAGTAAAACCACAGTCTGAGGTCTGTTTATGTAACTGCTCCTGCCCTGACCTTGAGACTTTTCTATTGACTGTACGACTCCTGAAGAGGCGCACGAGGCTCCAGGACCAGGCTCTTATGAAACTGACGAAAACGTTGCGTCAGATCTACTTAATAAATCAGGTTTTAACCAGTTGTGTGAAGCAGACGAGGTCAAATCGAATCAATTTAAAAGAAAAACTCCAAAGAAACATTCTGTCCCTTTTGGCAAATGGAACATCAGTGAATCCGTGTGTCATTTGTTCATTTTGTTTTTCAAAATAAAAACAAAAATAAGAAAATTAAAAAAAACAACTACTTTTTAAATTATTTGTCTCTAAAACCAAAATGAAAAAAAAAACCCCAAAAACAACAGATACTGTTTCCTGTTTCCATGACTTAAACTGCGATGCCGGACTGAACCAGGACTGAACCAGGACTGAACCAGGACTGAACCAGGACTAAAACAGGACTAAAACAGGACTAAACCGGAACCAGACCAGGACTGAGACCAGACCAGGACTGAGGAGTTTGGGACCAGGACCAGACCAGGCCGTGTTTGAGACCGGGACTGAGACCGGGACTGAGACCGGGACTGAGACCGGGACTGAGACCGAGACCAGACCGGGATCATACCAGGACCAGACCGTGTTTGAGACCGGGACTGAGACCGGGACTGAGACAGGGACCAGACCAGGACTGAGACCAGGACCAGACTGAGACCAGACTGGGACTGAGACCGGGACTGAGACAGGGACCAGACCGGGACCAGACTGGGACTGAGACCGAGACCAGACCGGGACCAGACCAGGACCAGACCGGGACTGAGACAGGGACCAGACCAAGATTGAGACCGGGACCAGACCGGGACCAGACCGGGACTGAGACAGGGACCAGACTGTGACTGAGACCGGGACCAGACCGGGACCAGACTGGGACTGAGACCAGGACCAGATCGGGACTGAAAACGGTTCAGTCCTGGTTTAGTCCTGGTTTATTCCGGCATCGCAGTTTACGTCACGTAAAAGGGAAACAGCCATTATCCTTTTTTTTCCATTCTTCATTTAAACACAAAATCAAACACTGAAAAAAACTAATCAGTATCTTTTTTTTTTCATTTTGGTTTTGGAGACAAATAAGGAAATATTAGAAAAACGAATGAACAAATGACACACGGATTTCAGTTCATGCTCAGTTATTGAAATAAACATTGTCTAATAATAACTGAAATAATAAGAGGCATTACACAAAACTGACTCTTGTGAGCTTTAAGTCGTGTTATAATGTCATTTCCTCCTCAAAAACAGACCTGGAGTTGCGTTTTGTTTCATTCCCACATGTTTGAGTAACACTTCATTATTAGTCTGTTACATCTCCAAAGCTCAAAATGCTCAGTTCCACCTTGTGATGTCATGAAGCTGTAGTTTTCAAGTTAACAACTGCCTTTTACCTTCTGTTCAGTAGAGATCAGCAATTCCACGACTGAAATCATCCAAATGATTCTGGTGAAGGTGTATGGAATTTAACAGAGTGGAATTCTTCCTGTATTAACACATGACATCACAAGGTGGAATAGAGTGTTTTGTTGGTTAAAACTCAGTGAAAATCTGCAGGGTTTGTGTGTTAAACATGTGTGAATGAAACAAAACACAACTCCAACTATGTTTGTGATGAGGAAACTACACAGCAAAAACTGGAGGGTTAAAATTTCAGGGTAAAATATTGTTGTTTTTAACACAAAAAGTGTGATTTTAACTATTTGAAAGTTAAATGGGGGTTTGAGTTGGGGTCATTTACCAGAGTTGAAATGGTTGAAGTTAATTTGACTTTCCCCAGTGTTAATTCAACTTTCCCTTAGTGTTAATTCAACTTTCCCTTAGTGTTAATTCAACTTTCCCCAGTGTTAATTCAACTTTCCCCAGTGTTAGTTCAACTTTTCTAGTGTTAATTCAACTTTCCCCAGAGTTAATTCAACTTTTCTCTGTTAATTCAACTTTTCTAGTGTTAATTCAACTTTTCTAGTGTTAATTCAACTTCTCTCGTGTTAATTCAACTTTTCTAGTGTTAATTCAACTTCTCTTAGTGATAATTCAACTTTCCCCAGTGTTAATTCAACTTTCCCTTAGTGTTAATTCAACTTTCCCCAGTGTTAATTCAACTTTCCCCAGTGTTAATTCAACTTTCCCCAGTGTTAACTTTTCTAGTGTTAATTCAACTTTCCCCAGAGTTAATTCAACTTTTCTCGTGTTAATTCAACTTTTCTCGTGTTAATTCAACTTTCCCCAGTGTTAATTCAACTTTCCCCAGTGTTAATTCAACTTTTCTCGTGTTAATTCAACTTTTCTAGTGTTAATTCAACTTTTCTCGTGTTAATTCAACTTTCCCTAGTGTTAATTTGGCTCCACTTTAAACTCCTGTAAGAGAAAACCACTTTGAACCAGTTTTGTTCATAATTTCATCTTAAATTAACTAAAATAAAGCGTAAAATTAAACAACCTCTGTGTATTGTTTTGCTAAATCAGGTTAACTCTACAAAGTGTTATCCGTTTACTCTCAAATCGTTAATATAACTCTAAATTTCGGGGTTAAACAGGAACTTTGGTCCAGTGTTACTTAATTAACATTTCCAAAAAAAAAATTAATTAACTCTAGAACAGATTGGACTCATATAAACCCTGAGAAAATGTTAAAATTGATTCTGTGAGAGTCAATTTTAACACTAGACCTTTTGCTGTGAGCATTATAACAAGCATCAGAAAATATGGGCCCTTTAAAGGTGCAATGTGTAACTTTTCTGGATCTACAGATGCATTTTTTTCTTTCCCAGAAATGTTCCACAGTTTATTTATGTGCTATTATTTTTTATTTGTGTGTTTAATATTACAAGACATAATTCTTAAGTCAAAACTGCATTCTTACTTTGAACTAGCTCTCCACCTCTCCACAGACCTGACTTGTAACTTGGTCTGCTGGTGTTCGAGGCCTCCACGGAGATAGATATGTTTAATACCAAACTGTGGACCATTTCAGGCAAAGCAATAAAATCTCCATGGCGACAAGAAGATGGCAAACCTCCGCCAGAAAGTTACAGAGTGCGTATTTAATCTAAAAAAAATGACAGATCTTTAACGGTGTATTTTGTAATTTTTCTGGCGGAGGGTGAAAATGATATTGCTTTGTCCGGAATGTTTCACAATCCATGTATCATTCGTTCATTTGTTTTTCAAAATAAAACCAAAAGTAAGAAAATTAAAAAACAACAACTATTTTCGTCATTATTTGTCTCCAAAACCAAAATGTAAAAACAGATAATGATTTGTTTTTTCAGTTTTTGTGTTTAAATGAAAAATAGAAAAAACGGATAACGGCCGTTTTCCGTTTACGTGACTTCCATGACTGCGATGCTGGACTTTTGCACCACGTACGGACTGAACCAGGACTGATCCAGGTCTGGGACCAGACCGAGACCAGCCCAGGACCAGGGCGGACTCCACTTCTAGCTCCGGCCCTGCTGTGGGCTCTGAGCCTCCAGCCTGGTCCCGGCCTGGTCTTGGTCTCAGTTCCGGTCTCAGTTCCGGTCTCAGTTCCAGTCCCGGTCTCAGTCCCGGTCTGGTCCCGGTCTGGTCCCAGTCTAGGTCTGGTCCCGGTTTCAGTTCTGATCTCAGTCTCAGTCTGGTCCTGGTCTGGTCCCGGTCTCAGTCTCGGTCTGATCCTGGTCTCAGTCTCGGTCTGATCCCGGTCCTGGATCAGTCCTGGTTCAGTCCGTATGCGGTGCAGAAGTCCGGCATCGCAGTCACGGAAATCACGTAAACAGGAAGCGGCCGTTATCCGTTTTTTTCGATTTTTCATTTAAACACAAAATCGAAAACTGAAAAAACGAACCATTATCTGTTTTTTCATTTTGGTTTTGGAGACAAATAATGAAGAAAACTGTTGTTTTTTCGTTTTCATATTTTTGGTTTTATATTGAAAAAGCGAATGAACGAATGACACGGATTTTTCACAGTACGGCATTAAACCTTCCATCTTCACGGAGACCAAACCAGACCGAGTTACGGGTCAGATCTGTGGAGAGGCGTCCCCAGCAGTCAGAATTCATGTTTTTCTACGTATTTTTGAGCTTTAAAACCACCTGTAATCGAATAAATGTAAAGTAGAGCTGTTTAATGTCACACTGTGGAACATTCTAGACAGAGCAATGACATTTCCATAGCAACAGACGCTGAATCAAAAAGTTACACACCTTTAAAGCTGCATAAGAAAACAAAAAAAAACATTCTGAAAGCAGCAGAACAATAGGAACTCCGTGTTCCAGGATAATAATAGTAATCACTCGTGTTTTAAATATCCTAAAGCAGCAGGTACTACAGCAGAAAGCGTAACCACGGCGACGGCACTTACGGTCGGAGTACCTGCCCGACTTCAGCCCTCTCAAGATGGCGGCCAGCGGGGGGAGGTAGCGCTGCAGCTCGGAGCACTGCGCGGGAGATAGAAGAAAAAAAAGAAAAAAGGGACACATGTAATTAGAAGGACAATCGAGAGCCGAGCGGAGGGTCTAAGTACAGGTCTGGGCGGCGAGGAGGGCGGATCATTACAGCCTGTCGACGGCCCGGAGAGGAGCATAACGAGAGCGGTAAAGACACAAGCGGCAATTAACGCCGCGGGATGAACCGAAGCTCTGGTCTATTTGGGTTACAGGAACTTCTGCGGAAAATATTTTAAAATTCTGGGCGTAACATATTTTTTTGGAGCTTTTTACCTTAATATCATGTTGTTCCCTCATCAAAAACATGTCTGAAGTGGTTTAATCTTTGCATGTTTGAGTAATTTAGCGATCTCGCCCACCTATCCTGAACCCTCCTTACGGTTTACTGTAAGATTCTGTGAAATGTTCAACTTTTACACAACAACTTAGGGCTCGGTAACATTAAGAAGTTGCAGATACGATAAATACTTCGGTACAGAGGCCATGATGCAATACGTTTTTCAATTCAATATGATTTGATACGATATATTTAAATTTGATTTGATACAGTTCAATAAAAATAAAGGCTAAATCAGGGGTGTCAAACTAATTTTGGTCCGGGGGCCATATCCAACCGACTTTGATCCCAAAGGGGCCAGAAAAAAAAACCCTCATGTCATATAAACCCCAAAAATAACAATAAGTTCATATTATTATATTAATATTTGTGCAGAAAAACGCAAATCTATTACAGAAATCTTTTTTAATTGATGAACTCTTTCTTTTACAAAATATTATAATATTATGAACAACCTGAAACTTTAAGAAAAATGCAATTTAAACACAATGTTTTAACATGAACTTGTATGCAAACAGGAATAAGTCAATTTTTCTTGGTAAATCCTGCACTCGGCTCCACTTTTCTCATTTTTGACATTTTGTTGATGAGGGTGTCACGGTCAAAAGTCAAAACGATCGTCCTTTAAGAGCGTTTAGAAAGAGACAAGTCTTCATTTGTGCTGCTCTGGTGGGAGGGGCCACGTACAGAGACGCTGGAGACGCTGCTCTGATAAGCACTGCAGAAAATTACCAATATTTTAATAGAAAATATAATTAAAATATTTTTTGTAGTAAATCAGCCGAGGGCCGTATGTTTGACACCCCTGGGTTAAATCATCGCTGTGATAATAAAAGTCTTTGTTGAACCGCTTCTTTTGCAAAGTTCATATGAAACACAAACATTTTACTCATCAAAACAGTGAAAATGTCCAATTTATTGCATGAATTTTCCTTCCTCTGAACAAGCAACACAACCCATGGCGTGTTTTTAGGGTCATTTTTGTAAGTTCAATCTTGGTCCACTGAAGGTGCAGACTGTGACGCCAGAGAACGCCTTCCGGACATCAAGTATTGACGTTCCCAGGACTTCCGGATGAGGCTAATTCTAGTCCAAATGAGGTAATCGACGTCTTTTCTACGTTAATAATAATACTTATAATAATAATAATATAATAATATTTTCCGGGCTATTAGGCGCTCTGGATTATAAGACGCACTGTCATTAAATGGTCTATTTTCGAACTTTTTTCACAAATAAACCGCACCGGACTTTAAAGGAAACACAACAGTGTGATGGGTGAGTGGTTTTGTTTGTTTGTGGTGTTCACGGTGACTCTGGGCTTTGTTCAGTTGTGGCGTGTAGGGAGGGTGTGTCTGGGACCAACGGATTGTCGGCGTGTTCGCAGTGACTCAGTTGTTCAGTCGTGTCTAGAAGTGGCACGTTGCACTCGCTTTTTTGGTTCGTTCCTCCGTTCCGTTCCTCGTCGGTGTGGAGTGATGAGTGTGTCTGTGGGTGTTTATCGCTGCGCTGTCGCTGTCTGCTCCGTGTGTGTTTGTGTGTTTTGCGGGTGGTGTGGCTTTGTAGTTTACTGAAGTCGTACTGGGACACCTGAGTGGATTCGTGTGTAGGGCGCTCTGGATTGTGGGATGCGCGTGGTCGTTTTTTTGATGGAGTTGGAGGCTTAAGAGCGCGTCTAATGGCCCGGAAAATACGGTATATCAGTTTATATAGAGCTTTTCTGGACACTCAAAGACGCTTTACAGATCATTATTCATTCACTCCACACTCGCTGCTATTGGAGCCACAGCTGTCCTGGGGCAGACTGACGGAAGCAAGGCTGCCGATATGCGCCATCAGCCCCTCCGACCACAACGCTACTTTCATACGAGGCAATGTGGATGAAGTGAAGCCTAAGGACACAACAACACTTTTTGTGACTGGCGCTCCCCTGTGGCTCCTGATTTTCCCAGTGTCTCCCATCCAAGTCCTGAGCCTCTGAGATTTGACGGGATCAGACTTTGACAAGCCGGTGTGGCCACGTTAAATTTAAACTCATTTTAGACCATTTTCATAGTCCTGCTGCTCCTGGGCTCTGCGCAGAATTGCGATGACATTTCAGACGGTGGCATAATGTTCCGGTTAATTTTATCTCAGCGGCAGGAAACTGGAACGCAAACAAAGGTGTAAAGTATTTCCAGCTCAATCTACTGAACCGCACGACGCTACAGGAAAACGGCCATGGACATTAACAACGTCATTTTCCTGCACCTGTGTTAAGACGTTTATTTATTTATTGCTATTCTATGAGTTTGCTCTTATTTTATTTTACTGGTTTTATTATTTAAAGACTAGTGTGATTATTTTAGCAGTTTATTTTATCATTTTATTATTGTTGTTATTATTATGTCTTTGTGCAGCACTTTGAAAACTGTTTGTTTGTGAAATGTGCTATAAAAAAAATAAATAAAGTGGATTGGATTGGATGATGTCCAAAAAAGTCACCTAGTCCACGGTTCAGATTGACGTCCAAATAACGGACCAAATTTACACGTCATTTTTTAGTCCAGAATTGGTGTTTAGTGGGACTGTAGCGCTGTAACAAAATAATTTAGTAAAATAAACCAAAAAAATACACTCTAGGCAATATATCAATACAGCAGCCCACAATATCGATACCGTTTCATCAAATTAAATGATATATGTCGATATTTCAATATTTTTGCACAAACCTAGATGTGCAGTAGTTTCATTGATTGTGTTGTGATAGCGCTCTGAAGGGGGAGTGACTTAACCCAGGGAGCAAAGCGAGGGGAGATTTATTTGAATTTAGCATTTTCAAAACAATAAAAGGTAACATGGTGATAAATAAATATGTGTAATGAAGATGGTATGATTCTTGATGGAAATAGAGAGTTAAAACCTTACTTCGGAACATTCTCCATGGGGATAGACAGGTTTTTATGCCACACTATGGGACATTATAACCACAGGAACAACATTTCCATGGAAACAAGCAGGAAGAGGCTCTCCTTGAGGTCAAATAAGTCAGGTTTGTGGAGGTGCAAGCCTGAGTAAGGACACATATTTAAAGGGCCCATCTAGTGCAAAATCAACTTTCCAGAGCTTTCTACCTTCTAAAAGTGATGTGTGGGCCTTGTATTTGTCACCGAAGTGGTTTTTAGATTGATTTTTTTAAATAAATTGCAGTGTACCGTATTTTCCGGGCTATTAGACACTCTGGATTATAAGACGCACTGTCATTAAATGGTCTATTTTCGAACTTTTTTCACAAATAAACCACACTGGACTTTAAAGGAAACACAACAGTTGGATGGGTGAGTGGTTTTGTTTGTTTGTTCGTTCACGGTGACTCTGGGCTTTGTTCAGTTGTGGCGTGTAGGGAGGGTGCTGTCTGGGACCAACGGATTGTCGGCGTGACTCAGTTGTTCAGTCGTGTCTAGAAGCGGTACATTGCGTTCGCTTTTTCGGTTCGTTCCTCCGGAACGTTGGAATGTTTCACAGTATGATATTTAACCTTTTTATCTTCATGGAGACCAGACTAGACCAAGTTACAGGTCAGATCTGTGGAGAGGCGACTCTGCTCACATTCAGAATCTATGTTTTTCTAGGTATTTTTCAGCTATAAATCCATCTGTAATTTAATAAATGTAAAGTAGAGCTGTTTAATGTCATATGGTGGAACATTCCAGCCAGAGCAATGACATAAAACAGACCAAAACAAGCAACCAAAACGTTACACAGAGTACCTTTAAGAAGTATGACGCAAAAAGGTTAACTCTGGGAAGAACTAAAAGCCAACGCAATTAACATTTGTAATTTATACGGTTCCGATTTGTGGTAAAACGCGGTTTGAGGTTTCGACTCCTGATCTCTCAGAGTGGAGCCTCAGGTACAGACCAGGTAATTGCCTAATGATCGTAATGCAGTGTTCTTGTTCATGTAAATATTTAATGCGGTTTGGGCTTCTCAGTATGAGCCTGACCTAAACTCACCCAGTGTACAGTACGGCCCCAGCCCCGCGATACCATCAGTGAAAGAGGATCACATGGTGCCTGTTTTCAGAGTCCTGGTCAAGTCCCGGGTCTGAACCAGGATCTGAGGAGGACTCGGCCTGCCATATGGTCTTGGTATCAGCTTTGGTCATTATAGGAGTGGGGCTTGTGGTGTCAAATGTGTGGGTTTGTTAGTGGACATGCGAGTTTAATGAGAAATCTATTAAGTTAAGGACACATTACGGAGATGGACAGTATATGGGGAGGAGTGTTTGGTGTTGGGTTTGGTGGAGCTGATCTGCTGTGACTTGAATAAGTGTATCTTTAAGCTTTTTAACTTTTTGCTGAATGAAAAATAAAACAAACAAAAAACAAACTGTGGCCTTACTCTGAGTGGGCTTGCATCTCCACATACCTGACTCATTTGGTCTGAAGTTGGACCTGCTCCTGCTCATCTCCATGGAATTATTGTTTCTTTTGCAATAATATTCCACACTATGGCATCAACTCTCCATGGAGAATGAAAGTATTGTTTTAACATCAATGTGTAATAGTATCTTATCACCAGAGTGGAGTGAATGAAAAATGCTGTAAAGCTCTTTGTGTATCTTGAAAGGTGCTGTATATAAATCCAACTTTCTGTTTCCATGGAATCACACAGTTAATGCTCAGCTCTAAAAAGTTGCATATTATCTCTTTATTAGTCTGTCTGGGGCGGCAGTAGCTCAGTTGTTAAGAGCATTTGTCCATTGATCAGGTGGTTCGAATCTCACTCTTGTCATAAAACATCATTGGCTGAGCAGTTAAATCCACAGGTTGGATGTGCAATCCCAGAATTCATTCCATGAATGCTGTTGTGTCCTTGGGCAAGACACTTAACCCACCTCACCCCCAGTGTCTGTGAGTGAGTGGATGAGTGGTTCTTTGATGTAAAGCAAAGAGCTGTATAAAAATTTAACATTTAACATTTGCACTGTTAGTTTTTGTAGGTTTCAATATTTCTTATGAAAATCCCAATTTTTTTTACTGAAATACTAGGGGTGTAATGGTACATGTATTCATGCCGAATCGTTTCAGTACGAAACATTCATTTTCGTGCAGGGCTGTGCACAATTGAATTCACACAATTTGTGTTTGTTTACATTCAGCCACTACATGTGCAGCTACATGGAGGCTCGGCTCTTTAATATTCACGACAGAACTCGTCTGTGATTGGGGTGTCAGTGTTTTTCACAGAGCTTTATAGTTAACCGTTAGTTCACCAACACAGAATCTCTGTTCCCCATATGAAGATTGAGTAAAACTTCATGCTGGAACTGTTAGTGCTGTGCAAGTTTTGTTTACTGTTTACAAGGAATTTATTTTATAAAATATTTCATACATTTGTTGTTTATTTGAGAATATTTTATTTAACTTATTAGTATTATCAAGCAGAACTTTACATTTATTTTATTTACCCGTTTGTATAATGTTAAAACTAATTTTTAGTTTAATAAACACATAAATAAACAACAAGCAAATGGTTTTGGATTTAGTTGCCGTATTGTACCAAAAATGAACTGAACCGTGACCTCAAAACTGCGGTACGTACTGAACTGTGATTTTTGTGTACCATTACACCCATATGAAATAGTATTACTCTCGTCAGACTTTAATACTGTAAGGGATGCAAAATTTATCATTATTGAATCGAAATTGCAGTTTGAATGGCCACAATTAGAAAATCACAAAGGCTGCAAGTACCATCATTTCCTCCACAAACAACCAAATCTTCTGTCTTAATCTACATAAAAACATCTAACCCTGTAGTTTAGATCTGATTACAGTTGTTTTGTCAATTCTTGTTTAAAATGTGAAACAGAATCCCATCATTAAAATATAAATGGCAGATCTACACATAATCACAAGCAAAAACTGATGTAATATAGAATTTAAGAAAGTCCGTAGTACCTTGTGTGAAAAGAGTTCATTCTCTGTGTCGTCTGCCGTGTTTTGGGTCCTTTTCCTCTTGCAGCCCTTCAGCAGAGAGTCGCCGGAGCGCCCCCTGTGGCAGACGTGGGCGTTACATTCGTAGAGGTGGTCCCTGGTTGTGAGGGGGGGTCCCGGGGGGGTACAGGGGGCAGAGGGGGCAGTTTTTGGGCTGTCCCGCCCCTCTTCTCCGGGAGCACAGTCACTGACGGAGCACGACATGGTGAGATTAAGCTAACAGCTCCCACACACGAACTTCATATCTGTAAAAAAAAAAAAAAAAAATAGAAATAAAACGTTAAAGGCCCATGTTACAGTATTTTCTGATCTATGTTATAAAGCTGTTTAATAATGATGTGTTGGTTCCAGCTCTTAGACGAAAACGATGACTGGGAGCCAATTTATTTTTTTTTAGGGTGCTAAATAATAAAGAAGATAATTCTTTATTATTATTAGTTTGTAGTTTGTAAACTGGCATATTTAAAAAAAAATGAAGAAAAGAACTAAAAAAAAGTGATTGTATTTCTGTTCGAGGGGTTAGAACATGGAACAATCTGACAAAACGTGTATAGTATGAAGCGTTATATTTTAAAAGATATAGAGCTCTGGAATGAATGAATTACATATTAAATTTAAATTTAGTTTTAATTTATATTTTGTCTCTTTGTTTTGTAGTGCTGCAAAATGACCTAATAAACTACTACTTTTAAACTATTGCTTATAATCTAAATAAAATAAATGGTTGACCTGCACCAGCGACCAATCGACTAAAGGATTACTTAAAGGTGTATTGTGTAACTTTTATAGTGGAGGGTCCGTCACCTGCTTGTCACCATGGAGATGTTATTGCTTTGTTTAGAATGTTCCGTGATATGACATTAAACTCATCTATGCAGTGTTTATTCAATACGGGTGTTTCTGTTGGTCAAAAATCTAATAATTCTCTCTGTGAATAGGATCGCCGCTCCACAGATCTGACCTGTAATGTAGCCTACAGCTGTCTCCCTTGAGATAAACAGGTTTAATCTCTACTGTGGAACATTCTGGACAAAGCAATAACATCTCCATGGAGACAAGCAGGTGACACCAATAAAGTTGCGTTATCCACCTTTAAATGAGGAAAAGCTCCAATTCAGAACCGTGTAAATAACAATAAACTTTCCATTAATATAAAAACTTTTATGTCAGATTGACTGAACACAGATGGATCTATATATCTATATATATCTATATGGATATCTATACAGGGGTGTCAAACATACGGCCCAGGGGCTGGATCCGGCCCTCCAAGACCTTTAATCTGGCCCTCGGCTGATTTTCTACTAAAATATTTTAATTATATTTTCTATTAAAATATTGTTAATTTTCTGTGGTGTTTATCACAGCAGCGTCTCCAGCGTCTCTGTACGTGGCCCCTCCCACCAGAGCAGCACAAATGAAGACTTGTCTCTTTCCAAACGCTCTTAAAGGACGATCGTTTTGACTGTTGACCGTGACACCCTCATCAGAAAAATGTCCAACATGAGAAAAGTGGACGCCTCCAAGAAAAATGGACTTATTCCTGTTTGCATACAAGTTAATTTTAAAACATTGTGTTGAAATTGTATTTTTCTTAAAGTTTCAGGTTGTTCATAATATTATAATATTTTGTAAAAGAAACAATTCATCAATTAAAAAAGATTTCTGTAATAGATTTGTGTTTCTCTGCACAAATATTTGAACTTATTGTTATTTTTGGGGTTTATATGACATGAGTTTTCTGATCCGGCCCCTTTGGGATCAAAGTGGGTTGGATTCGGTCCGCGGACCAAAATGACTTTGACACCCCTGGTCTATAGTAATCCTGTGGTACATAATACTGGGTCTTGTATGTATTATTTTACTGTTTAACTTTTTAATGTGTGGTGCGGGTAATAGAACACTTTGCACAATAATTGTCCAAAGGTGTGGTACTTCCTCTTTGAGAAATACTCGGTAACTTAACAAATGTAATTATATCTGTGTAATTATAAGATTCTGTCAGACTCTGTTTCAATCACGTCTCCTGTTTCAGTGGAAATTCAATAAACGTTACATTAAGGCAAAGAATGTACTGCAGTTCCACCACACGTATCATATACTGTATACATATATTGTGCACTTAAAAGTTAAAGCCACAGTGTGTAACTTTAAAACAAAAAAATAGATAACCAAAACAGATAGATTTTTAGTTTTTTTGTTGTGTTCGCTCTGTTTAAATCATATTGTACACAGCGCACCTCTGCATTAATTACAAAAAAAAAAGCCAGTTTGTAAAGACTGCAGGTGATAGGAGTGTGCAAAAATATCGAAATATCAATATATCGTATGGTTTAATGTGATGATACAGTATCGATATCGTGGGCTGCTGTATTGATATATCGCCAATAGTGTTTTTTGGTTTATTTTACTCAATTACTTTGTTACAGTACTACAGTTTTGTTGCTTGGTTAGAGGTCAGATCTCAAAAGCTCAGCAGGACCGGGCCTGGGTAGTACTTGGATGGGAGACACTGGGAAAATCAGGAGCCACAGGGGGGGTGCCAGTCGTAAAAAAAACTGTTATGATGTCCTTAGGTAAGACACTTCACCCACATTGCCTATTATGAAAGTGGAGTGTGTGTGTGTGTGTGAGTGATGGCAGCCTCGCTTCTGCCAGTCTGCCCCAGAGGAACTGTGGCTACTATATCAGTTTACCACCACCGGGTGTGGAGTAAATGAATAATGATCTGTAAAGCGTCTTTGAGTGTCCAGAAAAGCGCTATATAAAACTGATGCATTATTATTATTATTATTACAGTATTTTCCGGGCTATTAGTCGTGCTCTTAAGCCTCCAACCCCATCACAAAACGACTGTGAGCCCCACAATCCAGAGCGCCCCATACACGAATCCACTCGGGTGTCCCAGCACGACTTCAGTAAACTACAAAGCCGCACCACCCGCAGAACACACAAACACACACGGAGCAGACAGCGACCGCACAGCGAAACACACCCACAGACACACTCATCACTCCACGCCGACGAGGAACGGAACGGAGGAACGAACCGAAAAAGCGAGCGTGACGTGCCGCTTCTAGACACGACTGAACAACTGAGTCACTGCGAACACGCCGACAATCCGTTGGTCCCAGACAGCACCCTCCCTACACGCCACAACTGAACAAAGCCCAGAGTCACCGTGAACGAACAAACAAACAAAACCACTCACCCATCACACTGTTGTGTTTCATTTAAAGTCCGGTGCGGTTTATTTGTGAAAAAAGTTCGAAAATAGACCATTTAATGACAGTGCGTCTTATAATCCAGAGTGTCTAACAGCCCAGAAATTACGGTTTTATTTTCACTGTTTTGATGATTAAAATGTTTGCCTTTCATAAGAACTTTGCACAAGAAGTGATTTAACAAAGACTTTTAGTATCACAGCCAAGATTTAGTCTTTATTTTTTATTGAACCATATCGAATCAATTTAAAATATATTGTATCGAATCGAAAGTTCACTGTATCGAGGTATGTATCGTATCGTGGCCTATGTATCGAGGTATGTATCGTATCGGCAACTTCTTAACGATACCCAGCTCTAACGGACTAGTGCATTGTTTCCCAAAGACTGGGTCGCAAGAGATTTTTTTGGGGGGTCGCCTTGTCACGATCTGCATGTAAATCTGCAATATACAGCACGGGATTTATCTGGAATGTTTCACAGTACGGCATTAAACCTTTCTATCTCCACGGAGACCAAATCAGAGCAAGTTCCAGGTCAGATCCGTGGAGAATCGACCCCCGCTCACAGTCAGAATGCCTTTTTTCTAGGTATTTTTGAGCTATAAGTCCAGCTGTAATCGAATAAATGTAAAGTAGAGCTGTTTAATGTCACACTGTGGAACATTCCAATGACATCTCCGTAGAAACAAGCAGGCGACGGAACCATAAACAAACAGTTACACGGTGCAGCTTTAATGTATTTCTCCCCTGCGCAGTGGTAGTTTAGTGTCACATGTGTGGGACAGAGACAGAGCAGAGAGTAAACAGAAGCGTCTGACCTTTTCACGAGCGTAACAGCGTTCCCACGTCACAGCGCCCTCCGAAGGCCCCGACTGCATGTGCACGCCGTTACGTAACACTTTACTGTAATGCCCAGGCTCACATTTACACAGACGCCCCACCACGACTGAAAGTACTGAAAGGTCTGCTCAACAAACTAAAACATCAACTCACACGATTTACGATTTATTTATTGTTTTGTACTGAAAAAAAAGTGAAGAGATACTGCTTCAGCTTTAGGTCAAATTCAATAAAGAGTTCATATTCATTCTTTAACAACTGAATAACTAGCAGCAATAAATAAATATTAACTGCAGTTTTAAAGGTACAATATTGTAGATCATATTTTAAAGGTGCACTGTGTAACTTTTCGGTTGAGGGTCCATCATCTTCTTGTTTCTCTTGATCTCGCGAGAAGAAATTTGGATTTGGATTGAACAAAAAATGCTCACGTGTTTGTCACTTGCATCTAAAGCAGTGCTAAAATGGAAACAAAATATTGAATCAAATAAATTTTAAAAATTGTGAGGTCAAAATCTGAAACTGGATCTTGAAATGTCAATGAAATGTTCCACAGTGTGACATTAAACAGATCTAACTTTCATTTATTCAATTACAGGTGGATTTAAAGCTCAAAAATACCCAGAAAAACGGCATTTTTGACTGTGAGCGGGGTCGCCTCTCTGCAGATCTGACCTGTAACGTGGTCTGGGTTTGGTCTCCATGATGATAGAACGGTTTAATGCCATACTGCGAAACATTCCAGACAAAGGGATAATATTTCCAATGAGAAAAGCATTTGACGGACCCTCCACAGCTTGGAATTAAAGATTGCCGCTTGCCAGATGCTTGTCTCCATGGTGATGTTATCGCTTTGCCTGTAATGTTCCGTAGTTTAGCATTAAATTGGAGTAAATCTGATACAAAGAAACGTATGAGGATTTCTCGTATTGATTGGTCTCTCCACAGATCTGGCCTGTAACTTCACCTGATGTGGTCTCATAAAATTCAAGTAAAAGTCAATATAAAACAAATATTTTCACGATGTTTGTAGAGTTGCCAGACGAGTCACACTCAAATCTGTATCATTTCCAGTGAAAACAACAACAATATGATCTTGTTATAACAAAAAACATATTGAAAACATATATTTTGCACCATCAACTTAAACTTAAAATCACAGTGTGTAACTTTTGATAAAAAAAATAGACTATAATAAAAGCTTGTTTTTTGTTTTTTTTTAAATTTGGTTATTTATTGCACTGGAAAACATGTGTCCTTACTGGGAGTGGGCTTGCATCTCCACAAACCTGACTCTTACTTGGCCTGAAATGCTGTTCCTTTGGCTATAATATTCCACAGCATTGCTCGAAACACATCTAAAACCATGGACAATGTTCGTAAGTATGGTTTTAACTTTCTGTTTCCACGGAATCATGTAGCTGATGTTCCACCTCGAGAAAGTTACATATAAAATAAAACAATAAAACAATAAAATGTATGCATAGAAAACTACAAATGTTTCAGTTTAAACCCCTGCAAACAGATTATAAAATGTAGTTCAGATGTTCATATTTCTGCCTGATCAACACTGCCTTATATTTGCCGAAAAGGAGGAGCTAACTAGACTGAAACTACTCTGAAACTAACACACACACTTGTTTACAGTGTCTGTTTGATAGCTCGATTTATTGGAGTCATATATCTAGATGTCATTGTATTCTTTCTTTTTTCCTTTTCTAAATTTCCCCTTTATTTGTGTATTATAATTTTCCTAACTTAAATAAAAAATTATAAAAAAAGATGTGATTGTAGCAGTTCCATTATGTTTGGCAGATCAACAGTTCCGACCAGCTGCCTGTAAGAGAGTTTTGGCAGGTTGTGAAGACGCTGCTGCTGAATCCACAGTTTTATCTCATGTCTAGTGTCGGGAACTACACCAGAAGTCGTCGTCCACATGTTTCCAGACATCTTCCAGTAAACGTGAATAGAGCCTATTCTTTATTATTTATCTATTCTTTTTTATTTATTTATTTATTTATTCATTCATTTTTATTTACTTATTTATGTATGTATTTATTTATTCATTTTTATTTATTTATTCATTTTTATTTATTTATTCATTTTTATTTTTTTAAATTCATTCTTTTTATTTATTTTTTAATTATTCATTTTTATTTTTTTTTATTTATTTTTTATTTTTTATTCATTCTTTTTATTTATTTTTTATGTATTCATTTTTATTTTTTATTTATTCATTAATTCATTTTAATTTTATTTATTTATTTTTTTATTCATTCATTTTTTATTTTTTTATTTATTCATTCATTATTATTATTATTATTTTTTTTATTTATGTTAATTTTTTTTATTTCATATAGTATAAAAAGACATCAACAGTGTCACAACATCACACATACGAGAAATGAATGAAAAGGAGTAGAAAGAAGAGCAATCTTGGTAAAGGTGGGTTAAGCGCTTTGCCCAAGGACACAATGACAGCATTCATCTGTGGGAGCTGGAATCACACCAACCAACCTGTGAGTCAGTGGATCTGACCGCTCAACCCGTGATGTTTATGCCAGTGTTGGGAGTAACGCGTTATAAAAGTAACGAATTACTGTTGCTTTTTGCTGTAACGCAATAATGTTCAGCATTACAGGGAAAAAAAATTATAATATTTTACTCGGTACAAATGTGAGTAAAGCGTGTTACAATGCTGTTTTAACCTGGACTGAAGTGGTGGGTTTTTCTTCATACAAATTTGCTAAAATGACCGCGATATCAGCAGCGGTGAAACGTCAGAGATGCGCCCGTGTAGACCGTCAGGTGACCGCAGGCGAAAGGACCGATGCAGAACTCCACGCTGTTTAGACCTGGATTAGACCTGGGTCAGTTCTGGTTTAGTCCTGGTTCAGTCCATATACGGAGCAAAAGTTCAGCATCTTCGCAGTTATTTTGGCGAGAGTAAATTAAAAGTGCTGCAATAGTCGTGTCATGTCTTACATTTTAAACACAGTAATATTGTAATGTAACGAATTACTTTGAAATGACAGTAACAAGTCATAAATAAGGCATTACAGTTTTAAAGTAACTTGCCCGACAGTGTTCAAACCGCCAACCTTCAGATCACTGGACGAAAGCTCTACCACTTTTCCAGACACTGATAGTTACTATTCTCATGAAAAAATAGTGTTCAGATTTTGGAAATGGACATGTATAAAAATGTGAATGAAATGAAATATATAAATAACTAAACCACTAAACTAAACTATATTTAAAGGCATAAAGGATCAAAACTAAAAACTTGTGCGCTCCAGGATTTGCGGCTTTGCCTGACTCTCTCCCTGTGACAAGTGTAATTAAAACCAGTTTGGAGAAATCAGCTATTTCAGGCCGAGAGCTCTCCACTAATCTTGGACTCAAATAGGACCAAACTCCAAAATATCTAGAACTAGGGTTGTCAAAGTACTGAAAAATCTGGTTCTTTTCAACACTATTACACTTGTATTAAAACTAGAAACTCATCTGAGCAGCGATCGATACTGAAAAAGTCACATTCACAGGACAGAAATGAGCCTTTCCTGAATGTTTTTAGAATGATCTTGAGCTGAATCAGAACAAGTTTAAGAGCACATAGACTAGAATACGCCCATGGACCACTGAGGGATTACACAGATATAAGACCACATGGGAATATAAAAGAAAATACTATGAGTTAAAGTTGAAAATCACATTCTATTGTCTAAAGAAAGGGGATTTTTTATTAGCATAACAGTATCGGAATCAGTATTGAGCAGGGATCGTACGAGATCTTGTGCCACAAGATTTCGCAAGAAGAAATTTGGATTGGACAAAAAAAATGCTTACGTATTGGTCAGTTACATCTCTTATCGTTCCACAAAGCAGCATTAAAATGGCAACAAAAATACTGAATCAAATAAAAAACTGAATCTTGAAATGTTCATATTAGGAATTATGTTAAAATCTCATCTTTGGTCTGGTTTCGGTGTCACTGAAGTCCAGGTTTTGTCCATCCATCCATTGACTTCAGGAAAGTTTCACGGTGTATCCTCCTAGTGTGACAAGTTTCTCGCTCACTCCAAACTTTCTTTCTGCTGCTCAATTATTGTTTTCGGCTGAATATTTTACTACTTGCAGCAGAACAGAGTCTCTTTCTGCAGGAGACATGTACAGTAGAGCCAAGTGACAGTGGTACAGGAGGAACAGGAGCAGCAGATACTGACACACAAGAGCCTCTCGCCGCTTCAGGGTCAACATTTTAATATATAAGTCGCACCGGAAACACCCAAACCATGAAAAATGTGCAATTTATAGTCCGAAAAATACGGTATTAGACTGCAGACATCTCCAAAACTCAAGTAGTTTTCAAGTTCACAACTAATTTTTACCTTTAACTCAGTAGAGATTGGCAATTCGAGGTCTGAAAGTATCCAAATTATTCTAGTTTGAGAGAAGAATTCAGTCTAAATCTGCAGGTTTTGTGAGTTAAATGTGTGAATGAAACAAAACGCAACTCTAGATATGTTTGTGATATGAAAACGTAACAAAAATCAGAAAATATCGTAGTATGGGCCCTTTAATCCTCACATAATCTCGTATCTCGGTCTCCTGCAGTGCACTAAATGTCCCTATAGCCACAGCAGCACAGTGCAGCGTTCATGACTGAAATCACATTACCCCTGGCGCTGCCTTTTAACTGTACCACCAAAAAGGACAAATTATCCAACTATTACACCTATTACACGCACAATTACGGCCTGTTACGTAAGATTTTGGACTTTAAAGTTACACACACAAGTGGAAAACTGAACCGTGCAAATAGAAAAGAGACTAAGTAGACTAAATAGAAAGAATTACTGCGGCTAGCGAGGAAAAATTGACCAAAACGCACGTGTATTTTTGTATTTTTTACCAATCAAACCTTAATATTAACATTATTTGTGGTTAAATGTGTTTTAAAATTCAACCTGTTCAATAATCTTTAAAAATACATCTTAGAAATCGGCGTAAAACAGAATACGCTGCAACTTGGCAACGCGATAACCGTCCGTAAATTTTGTAGTTTTTGCGATAACATAACGCAAAATCTGAATTATTACAGTACAAAAATCATGAAATGAAGGTAAAACGAAATAGAAAAAGGGCAGATATACGTAAAAAGCAGTGCTAATACTGACCTTAGCGTGCGATCTAAATCCGTGGATGAGTGGAGGACCGGAGGAGCGTGCGTATCCGGTGCGTCAAGCCGGGGCAGGAGGCTCGCCGTCCGGGTGAAAGAGTCGTGTGTAAGTCCGTGGCGTGTGGACGTGCCGATGAATGCATGTGCCGCGGGAGACTTCGCTGGTGATGGAGTGTGGAGCCGGAGCCGTGAGGGCGGGGGGCAGGCGGAGGTACAGCCCGGAGGGAGAGACCGGGAGGCGGGGAGAGGACGGAGAGAGAGGCGGGGACGAGGCGGACGGTGTTCAAACGCGAAATGCACCCCGGAGAATATGGTCCAGATACCAAACAAACCAGCGACCACATTTAGAGGTGAACGTTTATTAAAATCACTGCAGTTTTTTTTTTGTTTTGTTTTTTTATTTGAGAATTTTAAAATGGATTAAAATTACGAATTAAAGGTGCATTTTGTGACTTTTCTGTTGGACCAGACCATGATTGAGACCAGGAGTGAGACCAGGACTGAGGTCAGGACCAGACCAGGGCCAGACCAGGACCAGACCGTTATTGAGACTGGGAATGAGACCGGGACCAGACCAGGACTGAAAACGGTTTAGTCCTGGTTCAGTCCTGGTTCAGTCCTGGTTTAGTCCTGGTTTAGTCCTGGTTTAGTCCTGGTTCAGTCCTGGTTTAGTCCTGTTTTAGTCATAACATAAACATAAAGTAACATAAATCCGATTATTTTATTTTATTTTGTTTAGTTTTATTTATTTTATTTTTTATTTTTTATTTATTTTATTTATTTATTTATTTATTTTATTTTATTTTTTAAATTTGTTTTATTTTATTTTAGCTGTTGTTGTTTCTGCTATGATTTCATTAATGTTACATGTTCCATTGTAAAATAATGTACATTTCTTAGTTGCTCAAAATAAATACATAACTTAAATCAAATCAAAAACCTTCAAGTAAATCTGATTTTTGAAATGATAAGACTTTAAAAATGAAATGTAAACAGTAAAAATGTAAAAACTTTTCTTATTTCTTTCTGCTCATGTTCCCTCTGATCATTCACATCCGATTTTGTGGTATACATGTCATCTAAATCATATTTTATTTTATTTTTTATTTATATATTTTTTTTATTTATTTAATTTTTAATTGTATTATTATTATTATTATTATTATTATTATTATTATTATTATTATTATTATTTTTTTATTTTTTATTTTTTTTTCTGCTCATGTTCCCTCTGATCACTCACATCAGATTTTGTGGTTTACACGTCGTTTAAATCATCTTAAATGTCCACAAATCAGATAATAATGAGAGTTTTTGGTGCACATGTGAACATATCCAGTGTCTGTCTCTTTTTAACAGGGAGCAGTTTTCTTCACAACACTCTGCCGTGATTGGCTGATACCTAAAGGACATTACTGGAAGCCCCGCCCCCTCTGGCTGCTCGGAGCTGTCAGTCACGCTTCAGCCTACACACGAACATGTCAGTGCATCCTCATCGACGTTCAGGACCTAAAGCTGCATTGTGTAACTTTTCTGATCATGGGTGCGTCAAATGTTTTTCTCCGTGGACATGTTTTACTTTGTTCGGAATGTCTCACAGTATAATACATATATTTATATAAACAGTTCTATCTTCATGGAGACCAAACCAGACCAGGTTACAGGTCAGATCTGTGGAGAGGCGACCCCGCTCACAGTCACAATGTCTGTTTTTGTGGGTGTTTTTGAGTTTTAAAACCACCTGTAATTGAATAAATGAGGTAAATCCGTGTGTCACTCGTTCATTCGTTTTTTAAAATAAAACCAAAAGTAAGAAAAAGAAAAAAACAACTATTTTCTTCATTTTTTGTCTCCAAAAACAAAATGAAAAGTGAGTGAGTGAGACCGGGGCCAGATCAGAACTGAGACCAGGACTGAGGCTGGGATCACACCAGGATTGAGACCAGGACCAGACCAGGACCAGACTAGGACTGAGGCTGGGATCACACCAGGACTGAAAATGGTTTAGTCCTGGTTTAGTCCTGGTTCAATCCTGGTTTAGTCCTGGTTTAGTCCTGGTTCAGTCCTGGTTTAGTCCTGGTTTAGTCCTGGTTTAATCCTGGTTCAATCCTGGTTTAGTTCTGGTTTAATCCTGGTTCAATCCTGGTTTAGTCCTGGTTTAGTCCTGGTTTAGTCCTGGTTCAGTCCTGGTTTAGTCCTGGTTCAATCCTGGTTCAGTCCTGGTTTAGTCCTGGTTTAGTCCTGGTTCAGTCCTGGTTTAGTCCTGGTTTAGTCCTGGTTTAGTCCTGGTTTAGTCCTGGTTTAATCCTGGTTCAATCCTGGTTTAGTCCTGGTTCAGTCCTGGTTTAGTCCTGGTACTTCCTGGTTCAGTCCTGGTTTAGTCCTGGTTCAGTCCTGGTTTAGTCCTGGTTCAGTCCTGGTTTAGTCCTAGTGGACCCTCCACCCAAAAAGTTACGCAAAGCACCTTTCAAATAAACTGTTTTTTTGTTGTTGTTTTTTTTTTTACATTTTTAAAAGTGTAAAAACCAGACACAGAGACTTTAATTAGACGAGGTTGTCTGAATGTTTTTCAATGAGAGAAATGCAGAGTTATTTTTGCTGTGTTCTTCAGAGTTTACAGAATGACTCATGCTCTGCTCTGTGTGGATAATATGGAGCAAAGTTACAGACAATAGGACACAGGTAACGCCGCAGTAAAACACCAAAAGACTTCTTATGCAATATTTCAAAAGATAGAAGATTTTTATTATTATTATTATTATTATTATTATTATTATTATTATTATTATTATTATTATTAACAGCCTGTAATATCTGGAGAGTTTGAAAAAGAGATCAGCAGTGTTGGGGAGTAACAGATTACATGTACTGGAGTTACGTAATCAGAGTACAAATTATGAGTAACTGTATTCAGTTACAGTTACTGTTTCAGTGAGTGGTAATTGGATTACAGTTACTTGGTTGAAATAAATGGATTACATGGCTATATTTTCCCATTTTGGGGCTAAACCAGGACTAAAACCAGGTCTAAATCAGGACTAAACCAGGTCTAAACAATATGACACCCAACAGTAGGTGGACATAATTTAAGGCAGCAGTGATCTCATATAGATAAATCATTTCTCTATCCATAATATTTTTAATATGGTTAAGGAAAGACTTGTTTTTTTCTTGTCTTTAAACAGACAAAACTTCTTATGTTAAGATTTCCTCGTCTTTGTTTCTGTACAGCAAACACTTACCTGTTCATGGAGACTTGGGCTCAATAACCAGTTTGAAGAGAACAAACAAGAATTTTCAGGATGTAGTTTTAAAAAGCATGACAATATCAAGTAATCCAAAGTATTTAGATTATGTTACTCACTTTAAGTCATTTAATGGATTACTTTACAAACTACATTTTGGGGTATGTAATCTGTAATCTGTAGGAGAATACATTTTAAAAGTCACCTTCCCAATTCTGGAGATCAGTCCTTTGAAGTTTGAGGTCGAGTCCTCTGTTTAATATGGTCTATGAAAGGTCCCCAGATTTTCGTAAATTTATCTTGCTGGTCCGACAGATTGTACCGAATCTCTTGAAGATACAAACAAGATATTATATCGTTTAAACATTTATGGAAACAGGGAGGTGCTGTGGTCTTTCATTCCCTCAGAACAGTGCTCTTTGTGATAATCATGCCACATCATGGTTTGCTGAATTGCCTGGGAGTGTCTCAGTGTCTGCTAACACATTTTTAGATCACCATTAGGGTGGTCCAAAAAAACTAAAATATTTGGGTCCAAATTTAATTTAATTTAATTAATATTTAGTAGTGAGGGGCAAATGAGTCGGAGCTCTGGAGCACGTCTCGTTCTTTCTGAAACAAATTGCTCCGAAGCACTGCCTCGGAGCTCGTCTCGCAGCAGCCGCTCACGTGACCAAAGTGTGGAAGTGTCGGTCCCTCCCCCTGACTGCTTCGCTCTGCGTGTCAGTCGCTTCAGTGTATCGAAGCGTTTCATTGGCTCAGCGAATGTTCCGCTCTGTGATTGGCTCAGAGTGTTTCAGAGTGTTCAGTGCACTTCCGTGGTTTGACAAGCGCTAAACTGCTACAGTATAAAAGATGCACCAATATTTCTTAAACATGTTGGGTAGTGAGGAGTATTGTGTGACGTTAGTGGTGATTTTAATGACTTTTGGCGACTTTTGACATTTGTTTCATTTTTGATGGCATCTACAAGTAGGAAAAAAAGCGATCCATGGTTTGGGATCACTTTGATCTAATTCCACCTCACAAGGCAACACCTATTTTCTTATTTACAGCTGCTATTTATGTTGCTCTTTACATATTATTTTAAATCATCATTATTTTTGTTGTTGTTGTTAGGTACGGTGTCGCTCTGCACACAAGTATCATCTTACACTAACAATACTTCATCGATGCTGAGACACCTGTGTGCCAATGGTTAAATTTGTCCACTAGAGGTCAGTGTTTCTCCGAGGCCTCAGACACGTCCAACCATTTGAGACAATATTGCGACTGAGGTGTTAATGCTTCAAGAGGCTCCATTCGCCCATCACTAATATTTAGAGGTCGTTCAAGACACTTGAAAATTGCCCTTTAGTGCCTGTACTATTACCAAGGCTGGTGCCACCTAGTGCCTCCGCTCAATTTCATTTCTCTCCAGCGACTAGATCGGGAATCAGAATACACTAGACGGTTTGCAAGAACCCCGGAAGTTGTAGACCACACAAGAGCCAATCAGCGAAGAGCTGTGAAACCATGATGTCAAACTCGTCGCGTCAGTCTGGGTCCCTTTTGTGGAACAGCACAACAGTAAACAAAGCGTCAAGATGAATGTACCATATTAGGCGCTCTGGACTATAAGGCGCACTGTCATTAAATGGTCTATTTTCGAACTTTTGTCACAAATAAACCACACCGAACTATAAACGAAACATAACAGTTGGATGGGTGAGTAGGACTTTGTTTGGTGCGTTCATGGTGACTCTGGGCTTTGTTCAGTTGTGGAACAGTGTGTGAAACAGCACAACAGTAAACACAGCGTCGAGATGGATGTAGACGAAGACAGACATTCTTTCTTGGCAACGATTCCCGAGATCGAGGATTTAAAGCCCGAACAAAGAGAATGTTTGGTGAATTTT